TTTTTTCCTTTTATTTTGTTTTCTTTGTTTCGTGGTTATTATCATTTTGGTGTTTGGTTGTTTTTTTTTTTTATGTTATCTTTTGTATTTTTTAGTTTGTTTTGGTAATATTAGCATAAGTTTATTATTTTAATTTTCGATTAAAAGATTTAATATTATTGATAGTTTTTAGTCTTCTAAACTAATTTTGGGTTGATCTCGTCTATCTTGTTATTTCTTGTTTTTTTTTTTTTGTTATCGTTTTTGAGGTTTTTGAATTTTTGTGTTTTAGATTATGTTATTTGGTGAAGTGTGTTTGTTGTTTGTACTTTTGTTGTTATTTTTTTATCTAAGGGTAGTAGTTTTTCTTGCCTAGTTAATTATTATGTTGTTCAGGAGGTTTGTGGTTATTATTTTTTGGTTTTTGATAATTGAAAGTTACAATTTTTTTTATTGGTGTTGAAGTCTGGTTCTGCCCCTTTTCATTTTTGGTTGTTTAGAGTGTTGTCTGGTATGAAGAGTTGGTTTATTTTATGGTTTTTGACTTTACAGAAGTTGCCTTATTTTTTGTTTTGGTTAATTTTTGTATTTTTGTTGTATTTTGTATTTATGTTTTTATTTTTGTTTTTCGGTGTGATTTTTTGTTATTTTCAATTTTTTTTACGTGGTTATGTTGATATGTTTCAATTTCCATAGTCTTAAAAAAAAACAATCCAAAAGATATTTGTAGATTTCCCAGGCCGGAAAGTTATTTTACTTTCATAAATTGATTTTAAGACTTCTTTGGTGATATATGCAAATATGAAATGTGATGTATAAGCAGTCACGGTTGTAAGTTTAGCAGCTTATATCAGTAATCATCAAGATAACTAAATTATAATTTTTGAAGAGAACAAGAACCTTTCTAGCTTGAATTTTGAGAGCAACTACTTACGAACTTCTGCCATGATAAGTTTTTTTTTTCGACGTAAATTTAACGCCGATCTATATTCAGAACTCTTAACTACAAATCATTTCATGACTGCTGATGAAATGTCTGGTTAAAATATATTGTTTTTTAATGAAGTATCGCGAAATATAACAGATTACAGTGCCGGTAGTAACAATTTCAGAATGGGATAAAAAAGGCTGATTAGTTGATGAAAGGATCAATGATATCTGTACATTAACTCACAAATGTAAATGCAAATAACAATGCCATCCAAGAAATATCGGAGCTCTAATAGATGAAATGTATCATTTTAATGCAATTTATATGACAAAACATGAACAATACCAAGTATAATTTGCAATAATTTATAAACTTCCCAAAATTTATAGGATGTAAGACAGAACGAAGCTGACGTTAAACAATAAATACTGCACGAAGAAATGCAAAACTTTTTACGCCAAGTAAAATAAATCTTTTTATCCATGATAAGTGACCGAATTTTTTTCAGTTTCATGCAAAATCATTTTGTAAAGCAAATCGGGATTTCCTATTTTCGATTTTAGCTCATTCCATAAGTAAACGATCAGATTCTCAGTGGTACTAACGTTACTTTTAAAATACACGACATCCTTATCCAAATTCTTATGATCCACCTTATCCAGCACGCTCTTCATTTCATTCTTCAGGTTAACCAAATTGTAGACCTGCAAGTTTCGGAACAAGTAAAACTGGTTCAAAAATACTTTTTCCAACATTCAACTATTACCTCCTATAAAATAAACCAAGCAAATCAGACTTGCTCTATCTAGGAGACGCAATTGATCATTGATTCGTTGAAAACATTAGTTAATTAATTTCACCTTTTATAGAAAAGATCTCTTTACAATGCAATTAAGCAAATGATTCGATCGCAGCGGTAAATAATTCTAATCCTTCCTTACCGTCCTTCGCATTGCATATAATAAATGATAAAGTAGCTTATAATGACTGATATCCAGTGCGTTTTCAATCACGAGACACGAGACATGCTATTCACCATTCCAGATTTCGGGTCGATTGATCCTCGAAGGGTTACTTCCCAAATGTAGTTATGTCCATGACCATTCAAATTGTTACATTTACCATACAACTGTCGGTTCTCAGTAGCATTCAGCATTGCATTTTGCAAACGATGACTGGCCGAGAAAGTCTCCCGACGTGTCAATTCTACTAACCCCATTAAACCTGTATGGGCTTTTTACAGAAATCTCTGTTCAGATACTTCAATTCCGCCATGAACTATTCGGTGTCTATTCTCTCAGCAGACACACCTTTTCCTTTCCTTCTAATCTTGAAGAAGGTTCTACTCTACAAGTCGTAAATGAGTATTAATGCGACACGAACAAATCAATACCTCGAACTTCACCATACTCTCCTCATTTGAGCAAATTAAAATCTATCAATTTTTCCACTAACACCTTGCAACACACTTCCCTTTAATCTTTTAACTCTCTTTCCTCCCCTCTCTTATCCTCAGCTAACCGTTAATGCCGGAATTCAGGGTTGAAAGACCATCACGCCTCTCTGTATAATTATCGTAAAACAAAGAACTTTTCAAAAATGCACATAGGTGTTTAATTTTTCTTTTTTTTGCCCAGATAATAGAAATCGTTTTACACACTGTACAATGAAAAATATATGGATAAGTCAATACGAATGATTGATCACCTGAAGTTGATATTCCCGATAACGAGAGAGCACAAGAACAATAAATGGAAGTGGCAAAAATGAGTACCAATACTACATGAACAAATCAGTATCTCAAAATTCAACATACTTTTCTATTATTCGAGCCAAATTACGACAATTTTGAGCACATATACCCAGATTACACAAAAATGATTGGTGCCTAATTTCATCAGTAAGCACTTTACTAATTTCTTTCCACATTTCTGTATGAACCAATACTTTCTATTCTAGAAATAAATATAAATCAGCATTGTTTAAACCATTAAGTGTTGGCTCAATACAGGGTAGGTTCAAACAGTACTCATTTAGAATTAAAAACATTTGATATCACGTTATAATCAAAAGCTACACTGAGTAAACAACAGGCATAGAGTAATGAGATGAAATCTTTACTTCGTTTCAAGTTTTATGTTCGGTCCATAACATTCTGGTTTTTTTTCGTTCTTTTAACTTTAGAAATGGAAATAACCGAAAAAGAGAAAATGAGTGAAAAATTGTAAATATCAGTATAATATCACAAAATAGTTAAATCATATCTTTCTTTTCGATTTACACCGCTAACGGAATGAAGCTCTACATAAGGGACATGTTGATTGATTGCTTGAATCGAACCATTTGTACTGCAAATAATAAATTTAAATCGAACTTGATGAATGCCATAATTAAAACATATGTTACCGAGAACTACATTATGAAGGATAGCGCGTTTTGGAGGGATTACACAATGCAGTGACTTTGATCTTGAAATTAAACAATGAGACAATTCTCATGCATTAAGTATTTATTCCCTGAAGTTTCCCAAAATTATTCCTTAATAGTTTGTTTCACCATTGCAGTCCTGCCGACTAGGTTCTTTTCATCCTTTTTCAGTAATTGGAGTAGTAATGAGACATCCGGATCACTACTACGTTCCAGTTGTTATTTGCTTATGATAGATAACTCATTGCAATTCCAACTCTTCATCACATGAATATGCTTTTCATTCGATTTTAATACGCTTATGGTTATGTTATAAAGGATGATTCTCAACAAAGTGATAATATTACTACCGTGCGTGAAATATTAGAGTAAGAAGAAAATTCGATTTGAGGAACTTACAAGGCAATCAGAGTGGAATCGCTTTTTACATTGTTTGCATCGTACCCGTGGTAACTGATAAGTTCTAGAATGAACAATCATCATACAAATGGTACAATCTTCTGCACCTTCCATATGTTTCTCGATGTTACCCGCCCACATTAGCACTGCATCCACAATGGAACCATTCTACAACAATGGTAATGTATAAAGCATAAGTCATCGGAACATGAAGACAAACGTAATTTTACATAGCAATTTTTTTTGCGATACTCTCTAATCCGTAACAGATGCACAGTGTCTGCAAATAAATTAAAAGCTCTTTGGGATTCTAACAACATATTCTGCAATGACACAAGAAATATTACGTTATCAAAATCTTTTCAAGCCAATCATACTAAAATCTAAGGATAAAATGTTTTTAATGAATGAATAATAGTCAGTATATAAACTTGAACTATAATAATGTTGTAACGATGACTATAAATTATAATGTGTATAATTTGCAAAATTACAATACTTGATGAATAAGGAACATTGTAAGCTGCAAAAGCCATTTCCTTCTTGTTTCCCGACTGACAATGGCTCTTTCATCTTCGATCAAGGGAACACTGAGTGGATAATCTACGGGATATTCTATCGTGAGGGTCATAGTCGAATCATTTAGATCGTATTCTGCCACAATCTGTCGAGCTGCTCGCAATAACCGAACCTGCAAAAGCTATTACTTCATGAGTCCTACTGTCAGCGGTACTAATGAATGAATGTAATTACTAACTCATAAAAAATAATAGAAGAGGAAGTTGTAAGCACCAAATCATATTCCCATAGCCACAATCTTTGATCCATTATGCCATACAACTTTTTAGAGTTATAAAGGCGTGGAAGAAAAACGAAATTTTCATTTTGTATCGCACAAAATTATTCTAACGAGATCTCAGAGTTTCAAGTCCAGAAATTTCACTCTTTGTAAAGTTCATAGTAGTAGTGCACATATAAAAAATTGAGAAAAAGATACTAAAGGAACTGGAGATATCCCGTGATAAAAAGGAGTACTGCTGCTACCTTTAATTTATTCGGCATTGCACGAGATGCAAACTGACCACACTCTGCTTTCCAGATCAGTGGACTGATTGATTTAGTGACAAACCTGGAAAAGCACATCATTCAAATCTTATTTCTCAAAAAACCACACCAAATAACCAATGCGTAGGTAATAGAAAACAATAAAATGAAAAAATAACGAACGATTTGCAAATAGTAGCAGCAGCACGAGGTAGCTTTATATACCACTGACGTACTATTGCCGGCAATATCCCACAAGTGCTATAGAATAACCGAAAAGCATATCGTGGCAACAGTGATCTTATTTCATTCCAGTAATCTAAAATAAATCGAAGTATTGTTTTTCTTTGTGAGCTCCATTTTTGGAGCAGTGACTAATCGCTCCATTTTTGGAGCAGTGACTAATCTATTGAGTATTTTATTAAAGCTGATCATTTCAGCTCAACTTTCACTGGTAATTTTATTGTTACCAAGAAATCATCTCAAAACTAGCACCTAGCAAAATGTGCAAGCTGTAACATTTTCGAGATAACTTCACTCCTATATCTTCGGTTTATATTCCTTTCTTTTCTATAAAAAGTCTCTGAAGAACCTTTTTTTTAGGGGAAATAATGAATAATATATAACAAAGGATATACCTTGTTTGTTAATATCCGTAATTTCCACAAAGACAGTTGCATCTGCAAAAGAATTCATTACTCTACCGTTTCAAACTACTATTATAATAAACGGGCATCCTTTTAATTTTCGTTATGTATCGGTTTCGAACAACAATCTTCCATTTTATCAATCACCAGCAAAAAAAAGTAATTAGAGAAACTTAAATAAGTGAGAATCCGGAAGAAGGCCAAACAGATGAGGCATAATTTGATCGATGTACGGACCCATCGCACTACAATACGCCACCCTTTCGAGTAGTTCAAATTGGCTCAACGAACTGATAAAAGCATCCCAGACAAGTAACTTCGGTGGTAAAAAGCAACTGCTTATCATAGTATCATCCAAAATTCTCGTAAAGGGTATTGGTAAATGTTTTTGATGACTGGAAGGAAGTTTCTCGTCTCCTGCATCATTTTCTTCGTTCCGCTTATTTTGCATCATCAGCATGTCTTTTGTTATTCTACAGAAAAAAAAAAAACTTTCCGTGATACACAGTTAATATATGTCAGCAACACCGAAAATAGTGGATACTATCACCATTTTCTTATTGAGGATTTCATGGGGTTAATATATGATGTAGACTACTCTGAAAAGTACATGAAGAATTTTGAAATGTTTTTAAGGGAATGCACCACAGTGAGATGTAAAAAGAGATTCCGATTCAAGCAAAACTAAGAGGAAATTCACACCTTCCGTGACCAGAACATGAACTTACAGCTTCAATATTTTCAGTGCAGCAATTTGAACATCTGGAGAAGGCGAATTGATCAGCGTGTGCAAAGGTATTACAATTGATTGTAAATGTTCATCATAGCTGGAAATGGTGATTCGGTAATTATCGTCAACAGAAATTATTTTGTGAGACATTTATCTTTTTGAAACCAATGGTATCATAATAAATTACTAATAAATTAATTTCAAAATTCTAGCACTTCTTTCGTAGCAGATATACAGCTTGATATGCGCATTTTCATTTATTCTCTCTAATATTTTATCCATTCTTTCCAATCTTTGTACTATGATAAACTGATGAACATAGATTCATTATTTCCTGCATTTTTTTTTTAGTAATCCAGCTAACAACGACGCGTGAAAAGAATGTTGCAAAATTGAACCTTTTGCTAATTCATAAAATTCAGATCAGATTGTCAATGACAGAATTGTCGCTAGATATGAGAATTTTTTAATGATATATAATTATACATATATGTTACTTGAGAAGATCTAATTCGACATCGAAAACAGGCGGTAATGAGGCAGTTCGAATAAATTCTTCGGTTATATAATTTATTGATAGGCAAAGAGCGTTCTGAAGGGCTATCGAATGAGAATTTTCCTGATATGAAGTCAGCCCGAAAAACCAAATGAGCAATATATTCTGCGCAGTAGGACAGAAGAAGTCTGACCAGTCCTAAATTTAAGTAAATGTAGTTTCAGACAAGAATTTAGCTGAAAATTGAATATAACAAATTTCCACAAAATTCAGTTATTCACTCAGTCGTAATGGAATGATAATAAAAACCTGTCTGAAAAGTGCTAACTCGACATCATCCTTAGTGTTATCAATCATTTGAACACATTCATTGAATAACTTTACAGACATGCTGCTGAACAACATATAAGATCGTGATTCACACTGCTCCCAAAGTGCATTAGCACTCTGAAATCGGGGAAGATAAAGAATAGGAACAAGTATAACAAAAGAAATTCTTTGAACTCTAAATTTCACTAAAATCTAAATTTTTAAGTTCTAGACTGAAATTCTTTTAATATCTACTCTATCACATTTCAAACCATATATTACCTTCCCATCCCCATTACATTGCTTCAGTGCTTTATGAATAATTTTTTATTTTATATTCATCAGTCAGCTTGTAGGAGAGATTAATATACCCGTAGGTAAACAGGTTATATTGCCTTTATAAGAAAATCAACATCACTACTCGTTATACCTGCCTTTCAGATATCGAGTTTGATTAAGGAATATTTGAATTTTTGTTGCTGCAGCCAACAGTACGCTTCATCAACAAATAAGAACATCATTTAACTGATAATTTTAAGGAGAATTCATCTTAGTTTACACAAATTATCAAGCATACTTCGAGCGATGTAATTAATGCACAACATAAGAAATCTCGCATAGAGTTATCCATTTGTCGCACATATGAACAACAGCAAGTCAGAAAACGAAGAAGGGAGCAATTGAATACATTTCGTTCTTCGTCTTCCTCCGTTCCGTAGCTGTATGGAAAGAACAAGATCGACAGGATAATGTTACGGATGTTTAGGTATGAATACAGTTCCAAGTTGCTCATTTTCTTTTAACATTCTATTATACGTACTGTATTTCTCAGAATGTTAAAATATTTTCTGCAATTTAAACAAAACGTAGTAAACTCAATAAAGCAAAAGTAACTAGTGGGTAGGATTCATGTACTTTCAGATGCGGTATTTATCTTATCCAGTAAAAATTTTTGGCTAAAAGAACAAAAATACTCCAATGCTCACCCATAAGTGAATACATATTCTTCAAGTGCGGAACGTCCTTCTACCATGAATTGGCTAAAACGCTTGAGTGGATTCACCGACTTTTTCAAAGATGATGTAATTTCAAAACGGCTTGTCCAGTATTTCATAGTAATAGAGGGGTTACAATAATCACCACATACTTCTGGTGCATCTAAAAAAGGTAGTTCTGAAATGTATAAGTTAAGTCTGAAAGCTCTTCCCTTTAATCTTTGAGTTTATTTTCTTTTGTACAACCTTACAAAAACTTCTAATCTGTTTAGTACAAGCACAGACTTACAAAAACATGGAATGTGACCTTTGTGATAAGAAAAATAAAAGCGCGATAAAAAAATGCGATAAAAAAATAACCTTGCAAGCGAAGAGCTGCGGAACAAAATGCGACCGTAATGGGATTCAAGTTCTTTATGGAAGCTTTGAACAATGCCTCAACTTTTTCCATGCATAAGTCATTTGCTAGTGATCGCAGTGCAATGAACAAGCATAACGATTCATTTCCATTGACAATTAGTGAGATACATTCAGAAAGAAGGTTTTCCTTAATTTGTTCATTTGCCTGGAATAATATAATTAATTGAATCCCAAAGACTCCCAATCTATTTCTCGAAAACTGTTTTACAATGTCCCACCTACCACCGTATAATGAAAAAAGATGTCTTGGTGACATTCTGGATAGATAAAGGGTAAAAAAAAAAAACCAACGATAATGGGGATGAACAGACCAAAATCGAGTTGTTGACCAGATTATTTAAGCTTGTCCTTGCGTCAATGAGCTTCTCGCTGCATACTGTATTTATGGACGCTAATGAAGATATAGCAACCGCATAAAGGAAACTCGTTGTATAGTATCTCATGTGTTCCTCAACTGCCATGTCGAGATAGCTTATTATAAATATAGCATAGCCAAGATGAGATAATAATGTAGAATCATCGCCCACATTCTCAATGAACAACGATTTAACTATTGGCGAAGCAAGACATTCCTGGGCATCCATTATTTCCAAGCCATACTGCAAGGATATTAACAGCTGTTTGTTGTTTAATTTCAACAAATGTTGTACTGGTGATTTGAAATCAGCAGAAAAAAAAGGCAAATTATGAAAAAAAAAACGTAAATTTTAAATTATTATTAAACAACGCTGTCATTTATATAATTTTTGGCAAGTATGGATTTATTAGAATAAAACATTATCAACCTCAGTAGCCTACTAATTAACTTCCCATGGATTTGCCATAAGTTAAGGACGTTACTGCTATGCTCCAAACAAATGAAATACCTAGACTTTTAGTGACAGAAAAAACCTGTTGGTCCACAATAAAACAAGCCGGTTCTCTGGATCCCGAAAACCTTCCGGATATGTTTTATGGTGTTAATAATACAACTGAATATGCAGCGTTTCGAAGGAAAACCGAAGAATTTTGAACAGATTAACAGTGTTGAAACTGTTCGAGCACTGTTCTTAAAGAATACAACTTGAGCACTGTCTAACCTTTGTTTAGCTTTTCTCAACAGCACTATTAGCGATCTTAATATTAGTAATAAATACCTTTTTGTCGAGGGAAGATAACTTATCAGCCAAATCGGAAGTGTTAATAATAAAATAAGTTGCACATGATGATGGCAATGAAGCAGCAATTGTTGTTGCAATTTCAATATCTGAGTAACTAAAAAAAGAGTAATTCAAAAATGCAAAAATAACGAATGAACATGACAAAGTTTTTGGGTGCTGTTGTATTGAATATTTGACGAATGTAGTATTACAAAAGAAAACATCTTTTGATAACCCCAATAAATTTTTCTACATTCCAGATCTGCAGTATAGCTTTTCAAATTATGCCATTATGTCATGTCACAATTTAAATTTGTAACGAAAAATAATTCCCAGTTTTTGCAGGGAAGAGAGGGTGCCTTATATGAAAATGACGTGAAATTCACATTTATTACCCGACAATTTCATTCAGAACTCATAAAACATACTCAAATTGAAACAGATTGGTTGATTTAATTTTATTGCTAATGGTTTGTGCTACTGATTTCATATCCACACTAGATGAAACCATCACTTCAATTGCTTCGTTTATAATCTCTGAAAAAATATCTAAACATACCACAAATGTGTCTGGAATTAAAATGTGTTTGCGATTGCTCAACTACGAATCAATTTGAAAAGATAAGTTTTACTTTCTCCTTACTTTCTCCTATCTCCTTTAATAGGAGAAAGTAAAAACTTGTCTATGTTAACGTAAACTATGGAATTGTTCAATGCTTCAGTGAGGAAAACACGAAGAAGCAGCAATCTCTTATATCCTGTTCAAATAACCAGACTGAATCACTACTTGAAGATGGTTCTTCTGATTCGAAAAATTGTCCAATAATAAGATCAACAAGTTTGCTCCGCAAATTTTCAGAAATCTACAATATTTTCGATTAATAAAATAACAGTTTTTCTCGTGAACCTGTACCGGCAAATGTTTAACAATTATTAATCAGATCATCTTTCTTCTGTTGTTACTGTAACTTCCATATTTGAAAGTTAGAAGATCTCATATACAGTGCAAAATTCAAACAAAAGGATATGAAAAAATAGTTTAAATAATTGCAATACCTCTTGTCCTTGCTTATTTAACACTGTTATAAGCAGCTGCTGGTCTATCTGATAACGATTCTCTACCAATATCTCAACATCAACAAACATTAATTCACAAACTCACTTCAACATTTACATCTGCTATGGAAAAACGTTTATATTCAGAATTCATAAGATCTGACACTTTGCCCAATTTTCTTGTATATGCCTTTTTTTTACCATCTTTTGAAATCTACTCTTACCGGAAAAGCGAAAAACGTTACTACTCATTTTAATAGTCATGTAGAACCAAGAACGTTGATATCGTAACGGTTGAAACATGAATTAACAATCAGCTTATGGATGAATATACTTGTTTCGTATATTTTGAAGGGTAGTAAAAAATTACTGTAACAAACTTACTTGCTGCAAAGCGGTTTCAAAATAGGGGAATGATGTAGCGATATCCATAAGAACTTCCCAGCGTTTCAGATCTGCTTGATGAACACAAAATCGCATAGCTCTAATAAGCAATAGGTCATCATCGATAAAATGTGCTGCAGAACACCTCTCCTTACCCAACAACCCAAAAGCAAGCAAAAATCGCATAGATGTTAGTTCGTCATTGGCCTGCAACGAAAGTATGCGTATCAGCAACCCTCAATAACCTTTTTAATCAAAAAAAACAGACAGTCTTCTGATAATATATTGCATCCCAAACTCACATCAACAATTTAGGACTGAACATGGCTTGATCAGACCCAGTGACCAGTTTCTCAGATGAATGTTCTCACAGGTTAATTACTAATTTCAAAGTATTAAACATTGCAGAATTAGTTCTCTCGAAAGAAGTGATTCCGAAAGACCGAGAAAACGAAGTTTAATAAACATGTCCGATTAAAGTAATTCTTCACGAACTAGCCATTTGTTAATTAAAGAAATCAGATCGAAAGTTTCTATAATTGGCATCGTGATTTTTTCAAAAAAAAAGAGAATTGATATAAAGAATTATGAAGACAGTGTCATGAAGAATGAATTCACATTATACTTCCAATAAAACATTTTCAGTAAGATACCTTATAAAACTCGATGATGTGTTTGCCAAATCTTGTGGTGAATTTTATCAGTAATTTCAGCATAAGCAGTGCCGTATCTTCAGCATTTTCCCAGTCAATTTTGCTCGAAATAGCATGACAGAGGTCAATTCGAGAACTGATTTCGTTTAGCATATCATCATTACATTTTTCCATCACATTATAAACTAATTTCTGACTAGCATGCGCATGTTTGAGTAACTGCACTACGAAGTTTGACCAAACTGGCTCCATTCTGTCACAAAATAGCTCTTCGACTAACGGTTCTGTAGATGGAAGCTAAAAAAAATGATTCACTGCAGCATAGAGACTACTAATTACGGAACAGCCTTACAGTGTTTTTTTCTTTTTAATTTTTCTTTCAGAAGAACATTCGCGAAATACACATGCATTTATCTCAAGAACTACAAAACAAAAAGTACCTCATTCAAAAGATGATCCTGAATTTGGTGACGTAGTCGATATCCAATCTGCATGTTTTGGAACCATTTACTGACAATGCGTTCCGGCAAATGCACCATTTTTCTGACCAATAACTTGTCATTCCACTTTAGACTGCATTTCATCGCAATCCATATCTAAACTTTTCTGGGAAATAAACAGGCCATTATAAAACAATGAAGCACTCTGAACAAAGAAAAAAAAACCTTTGTTAAAAATTCATCCATAATAACATCCAAGTCATTAGCACACCGACTCATAGTCCACCAAATTCCAAATTCCGTAAATTCTGCAAAAGTATTTACCCAAGCAACACTAGGAAACGACAGATTCCAAGGCATTCTGAAATGCACAATTTCGGTCACTGACTTTTGTTTCACAAAAATTCCACAAGCAAAATTTTAACATAATTGAGTCCTAGACACGTGTAATAAACTTTTTTCCCCAATAACCAACTGCAAAAAACATGAATCTTCAACAGCAACTAGCGCTGGACTAATAGAAACATAAGATGACCAAATCGTAGCTGAATAAGTTTAAAAACAATCACCCGTCGAAAAAAGCATCTAGTATTCTTTCCAGCAGCTCTCGACCTTCAACCGCTGTTTTCTCATCAAGCACGGCTTTTATTACAGGTACCAAAATCGTTGAGATATGGTTCCAGAAGCTATAACAATAAAATGTTTACTTGCCTACTTTTTCTTTGCACTGCATTTGCTTACGTTTCATCCATGGTTGCCTACTTATCCCTTTCAATTTTTTAGGATTGTCACTTAAAAAAAAAAACATTTATGTTAATGAGCCGCGAACATTCACTATACAATACACCTTAGATATCGAAAAAATAAGAGAGTACGTAGCATGATGCCTAATGTTCGCATTGATATAATGATAATTAATCGCATGTTATAATATCGACCCTTTATATCTTGCTGATAACAATATTACGAGAAATCGCTTACTTTCTCTTCCGTCTTATCAATGATATGACGCGACGTACCACTACGTTATCAATATCCAGTACATTAAATAGCACGTTCGCCTTGGTCATTTCAAGAATGAGACGAGCAGATGCGCGACTGACATTCCTGTCAACATTGTCCAGATGGCCTAGGGCCGCAGTCGGTATAATACTCTTTAATACTGTCTCCCATCCGTTAGGTAATGTCGTTATGCGAATTGCTAAGATCATTGTAGCACTCACAACCTGCAGCATTCATTAGTATAAAGGTGGAACAACAGTAAACTCAAAGATGGACAAGGATACTCGTAAGAAATCATCCATAATCCTTAATCCACAATCTTTATGAAAAAAAGACTTCGACATCAATCATGATTAGAAAATGAACAGGAATAGGGACCACGTTAAGATGAAGTGAGAGGAAGTTACGAATAAGTGCTCATTTGTACGCAAAGTAATTTCGATAAAATAGAAGCTGGTAACAGAGGTAACAGAATGATATAAAAAGCAAATAGTGTCGAGAAGTATGAAATTACTTCAGCAGATGATGATACTAATCGTCTGTGTGCTGGATTACTGAAAAATCCAAGTATTCGATTACGCTGTTCCTCGCTAAGAGACTGCGCACAAACCCAATGAAGGTACTGCAAGCTTTGTGCAGCAAGTCTCACGAATCGCTGTTCTTCAGTTTCCTCTCCCTCACATCTGCAATAAATAAACTTTGAAAGATTTGATTATAGAAAAGCAAAAAAAAAACTCTGAGACGATTTTTAGAGTTCTTCTTTCAAATAAGAGACACAGAACAATTTCATCCCTGAATCTATGAATCCTTATTCAGACTATTTTGAATTAAAAACTGTTTAAAACAGAACATGAAATCATTATAATAACAAACGGTACCTAACCAACAATGAATGTTTGCCACTGATAAATCTAAGAGCTATTCCACATATTGATTCCTTAAACATTCCTATGACAATATCATATTTTTCATCCGGAAAACATTCCGCTAGCATGCTTTTTGATTCGTTGACCACTTGAGAATAACTATCGTGTGTCATCAATATCACATAAGGCAAAACCTGCAAATTTAAATTTTCGTTTTGACAAAAAAATTGCCTCAAGAAAGCATTTGAAATATCAAATTCGAACAATTTAATTAAACATGCATCGAGAGCTATTACTTGATGAAGTAGTACGGCAGATAATGAGTCGCATTTCATTTTCCGATATGTTCTAATGAATGCCCGAAGACCTGCGAAGGTTTTTTTTGTTTTTATTAAGATTTAAAGCAATTTAGAAGCTAAAACGATTGAATTCCAAAAATCCTAGGTTAGTGGAATGAATTGTGGAAACCTTTGACCAGTACATATTAATTAATTTGTATACTTCCACAGATCGAATATAGCACATCATTTTCAAGCATTACTGGAAATAACATTCCTACGGAAAATCCTAACCTTTTTTAGATATGGTTCACAGTTTTTTTGCAACTTCTTGATATAGTCTCCCAAGACACGGACCACATTAGATCTTACTACTGCAGTTGTATCAAGAGCTAGCCTGGGAAACAAGGCAGCAAAATGTTTGAAACTTTTTCGAACATCATCGAATGCTAATTCATCGATCAGTCGTCTCAAATCTTTCAGTCCCTGAAAAAATTGCTGCATAATTGATGGAAAAACAACTGTAAGAAAAAGTAATTGATATCCTTATAATCCATCAATCAAATTTATTAATGATAAAAATGACATAACTACTCACATTATTGCTAATACCATTATAAAAATGATGCCAAATCTACTGAAATATATTAATATATTAAAAGTCATATTAAATTTGAATTAAACAGAGGTCGTCAGATTTCCGATGTCTCGAAAAATTGAAGATATCTAAGTCCGAAAATAGTACGTTACCTTTTCACGAGTATGCAAATCTCTTTTCATGGTTTTTCTTAAAGCAATCTGGATTTCAGCATCAAAGAGGTCTTCATCTGCATCGCGATTCTCTAGTGAGGTTGTTGTAAACGGTTCACAATCACCAAATGTTATAATCTGTAGTGGGTGTCCGGAATTGGTCAGTAATTCTGCAGCATGGGCACTGCTTGCTGCCTGGAAAAATTTACGCATTTCCAATTATGACACTCAATTATGTCAATATTCGGCTAAGCAAATCACTTGCTATACGATTTCTCCTTCTCATATTTCGACTTTTAATCATGGCCTATTGTAACTGGAAGAGTGACCTACCTGAGCATTTCCTTTTCGACGCTGCTGTTTACTCATTCTCCTGAAATAGAAATGACTGCAAGAGCGTGAACTGAATATAAACTAGTCATAATACTTCATACAATATCACTGTAATGAGATAAACATAACCATATACCAGTTCTCTCATTCCATCTACTTAATGAATTCTTTTTCCCAAGCAATGTGGTGATAGCAGTGTTCATGTGCATACTGTATAATGGCGTGCACTGCATATAGTTACGCGTGCCACGTGTAGTCTAATCACCTGTTATCTCGGATGTCTCATTTTCCATACTTTGTCACAACGCAGAGACTATATGAAAGACACTACAGTGATGGAGACACTGTAGATCACAACAAGGCACATTGAGCTGAACAGTAACGTCACTCCTCTAGCTGTCTCATTCACCAATTCACGTGCATCACTTTTACAATCTCTAAAACGTGTGCTACTCTACCCCTTCACGACATCCCTACAACTGTCATCGTATCCTTACACCTCCGCCAGAAAAAAAAAAAAACGTGTGTTGCACACCTTGTTGTATGCAACAAACTGTGAAAGCAGGAATAAGGAGTGATTTGGTTTTTAAAGAAATTTAGTTTGTCATCGGGTTTTTTTCTGGTGGTACGTACGTGGTACATGTCGTGTGTGTCACTTCATGATGATGAGTATGCGTACGTGATGCATCCCACATGTGTCACTTCATGATGGTGTATATGCATACATGGTGTATGTTACATGTGTTACTTCAAGATATGTAACATGGATGGAAGCAAAGTTGAGTTAAAGCTGCGGATTTTTATAAATTTTCACTGCTTAAATTTCTGAATTTGTTAACAAATTTGTTGATTTTATTTGTAAGCTGTATATCTCCTTACTCTCTTCACAGTTCTGATAGAGCACTCGGATACAGAGAAAGTTTGTGAATTCAACAAATTAGATTCTTGGTGAAGTTATGGACAGAAATCTTTCGGATATATTTGGTGCGCTTGTAATTGTAAGATTAAATAAGAATATTTGCAGATTAGAGAAGTAATGTCTCATTACTGGATCGGCGATGACAGTCAACAGAACAACTGGTACAGTAGTGAGGCAAGTTCCGGTTGGGGGCGGTATGATAATAGCCAGCAGCAACCATCGATCCCTCAAGGTTAAACTTCTATATCGCTTATAAATGTACAAAGTCCAAAGTCAACAGTTTATACTTGACCTTAAGGACAACATTAAGTTACTTCAACCTCCTGTCCAAAATGAGCAAAAAGTAGAAAGAAAGAAGGAAATATAATTGTCTATCGCCAACGTTTTGTGTTAACAATGATTTGTGACAAAAGCGACAGCATTCAAAACAAATATTTCCACAGAACAATAAAAGGAAGGAACAATAAAAAAGTGTTACTTACTGCAACATTTGTTACAATTATTTTTCAAAAAAAGAAGATGAAAATGGCAGGGAAATTAGGACGAGAATTGAAGACAAATCGATTGCTTATTGAATACAAATTTTTAGCCTTTTTGTGTATCATATGCTTCATGGTAATATGATAGGTGAAGGAAGCCGATTAGAAAACATGGAGTAGGTTACATATCAAATTTCTTCGATGTTGCAGAAAGATGAACAAGAATTTAAGGTGTAAAACTATGATTACAATTTATTTATGCCTATTTTATACTGTCCATCATTTCTATCAGGATTATTTTTGTTGTTCAGCCGTGGATACAGATACTGGCAAATTAGTTGATTTGCCTGGTTAGGTTGGTTTGAGAGAAATTTTAGACTAATTTTTTTAGACTAATTTTAGACTTTTTTTCATTTAGACTAATTTTATAATTTTAGAATTGCTTTTGTATAATGTACGTTTCTAAAATTTTTGCTAAAATATTCATCTACAGGTTCAACCTATTATGAACAATATCAACAGCAACAGGCACAGAATACAAACCTGTATAGTGGTCAGTACTTCATCCCGTCTCAGCCGCAAGGTATTTCGTTCTCCGTTATTCTAGTTGTAGTATGCTGAAGAAGATCACTGATGATATGAAGTCTGCCACGTAATCAGTCTAAATGGGTACTTGTTTTTTTTCCCGATAAAAAATAATTTCCTCGTTTGCTTTCTGTTTCAGCTCTGCCTACTGATGATTTCAAGAACGAACCACCACTCTTGGAAGAGCTTGGCATCAATTTTAGCCACATCAGACAAAAAACATTTGCCGTACTGAATCCCGTTGGCTCTGTGGCACCCGATGTAAGCTCCATTGTTATCTTGGATTATTATCAGCAGTTGTTATCTTGGATTATTATCAGTCTCAGACTAATATACATAATATATTCGAGAAATCTCTTGTAATATCTACTATTTGCATGATTTGCCGGAAGAGATGCTTCGGAACTATATGGCTGCTTTGCTGAAGGTGCGGTGTTAGGTTTGTAAGCTTGCCAGTTACAGGTCATTTCATTTCAAACCTCAAAGTGGTGTGTTTTTAGGTGATTGCTGATCAAGACTTAGCTGGTCCGCTTGTATTTTGTCTTTTATTTGGTGCTGCCTTGTTGCTTCACGGAAAGGTATGGTTATTATTCTCAAAGAAATATTTCTGTTTGGAGATTTGTATGAGCTAACATTATCTTTTGGGTTTCCATCTTGACAATTTAAATTAGGCTAGTTAAAGTATGTTTCCTGAAACTTATTCCTGTACTTCGTTAGGGTGACCATTGCTGTTTCGAATGAAAAATAAAATGCTTGTAATGTTAGGACTGACTTCATATTCAACTATGCATTTATTATATATGTCCCAAAGTACCATTAATTTTTATTATTTATAGTTGTAGGTCGGACAAAGAAGTGCCATAGCTAAAAAGAACTCTTATAAATTAGTAAAAGTAAGGGACTTCAGTACTTTAATGTATTACTTGATTTAGCAGTTTTAGATTCAGTTTGGATATATTTATGGAATCGGTGCTCTGGGATGTGTCGGAATATACGCTTTGCTAAATTTAATGGCTACTGATAATTCGATTTCATTCACCTGTACTGCTAGTGTTCTTGGATACTGTTTATTACCAATGGCTATTTTAAGTATGATAGCTGCAATCTTCTCTTTTCAGGTATCTCTTAATTCCGATATCACGTAAGTTCATGATTTCAGACCGGTGGAAATGCATTTGATATCTTTTGCAATTCAGTAAAGACTTAATGAAAGGAATCGAAGTATGAATTGTTCTTGAGAGTTTTTTAATATAATCATTTATTGTTTGTAGGGTGTGTTGGGTTACTTGATTGCAAGTGCGGCTGTAATATGGTGCAGTATTGCTTCATCTAAACTGTTTATTACGACATTATCTTTGGATGGACAGCGATTGCTCGTCGCATACCCATGTGCCTTGTTATATTGTGTTTTTGCCCTTCTTGCTATCTTTTAAGGTGTATTGATTTGTTGGGATTCGTACGAATTATCAGAAGTGTTCTGTTTCTCTCGTTCGATATTGCAGTAATATCGTTCTCGTTTTTTTGTATCGTGTGATGTCGCAACATCAATCATTAGTCGAAGAATATAAAGTAAATGCATTCTTCCCGATCTATGGCAAGATATTAGCATATTATTTAGGTTCTACCAGTCGACCTTAAAATAATATTCCAATCTTATTTCCAGCTCAAAAAAAATATGTATGAATGACAAAAAGATGATATCCTTCTTTCTATGTACATGCATACTTTTTTTCTGCCACTGGATATTGTTAATTGCTCTACAGCAGCAGTATGTCACTCTATGTAATCATTGAATAAACGATCTTTGCGGTTGTTTCAATTTCAACTTGTAATTAACCTATTTTTGATTTGTTTTATTGCAAATTATTGTTATTGCATAAATTATACCATAAATTAATAAAAATTGTTTTTTTGCTTCCACATTTTAAAATGGTTTGCTGTTTTCATCTGTATTTGAAGAAGTCAAAATACATTTTTTTTCTTTCTCTGATTCTCTCAAATATGTAGGGAACGCATGAGTGTTTTGCTTGTTGTCTAGGACTAGGAGATCTTGGCGATTCACCTAATGGATTTTTACGGAATGTGCTAGGAATACGATCAAGATGTTCTGATATATCTCATGGTTGCTGCTGAGTCGCGAGGTTTTAGAGCTCCTTGATTGTTGGATTTAATTTGGATCGATCATTCAAGTTTAAAAGCCAGTTTGGCATATTCTTTTCGGTCTTGATGACTTTGCTGTGACCACTTGTACACTGTATTTATGTTCATAAGTTTGGAGATCGAACAAATTGTGTGAGATGTTGAAGTTTTTTTTCACTGTCCGGTAATAAGAAACCGTCTTAGAGTTCGATATCCCAAAGTTCCACCATTCTTTTTGTGGTATTACAGATCCATCGGCCAATATCTTCAGCTTCAAAAAGTGTGTAAAGAAAAAAAAATTGATGATTGTTGGAAGTAAATCGAATGATGGAAATGTAAATATTAGTGAGGAAGATGCGTGGATTGTGCATCCCATACCTGGTTATGTCGTCAAATTCAAAGAAGTGGGGTTCTATTTCACTTATTTAGTCCTTGGTCCTTTAGTTAGTCGAGTAAGCATGAAATGTTGATTGTACTGAATTGTTGGTGTTTACTAAGTTTTTTATTTCGCATGAAATTTAGTTTTAATGAAAAGGTCGATGTATGGAATCTTTAATTAAACTGTAACTCATTTTGGCGCCAATTTTAGTGTTGATTGAGGCTTATTACAGCAAAAGCATTATAATAACTGCAGAAAGCATTGATCATCTTTTTTTTGAAGGTAGATTCTAGCTGTCGCACATTGTTAATGAAAGAGAAATGCAAACTTTTTTTAAATATTTGCCACTGCGCACAATTACCCCCTCCAGAGGACCTCAGTGAGGTACGTTATTACTACTTTCCAATGAACTGTTAATCCATGATTTGGTAATTGATCATTCAGTTTTGAAAGAAAAAGTTAATGCCTGTAGATGTAGGCAGATGTTATTTCCATTTATTGATTTTCTTTTGGATAAGTGATTTAGAAAAATAAAGTTTTCTGAATCAGCTGCCGACACTCATGGCTTTTATTGAACTGATGGTTCTGTTTGCTGATGTAATCAATTTTCTTTAGTTCTCTTCTTTTTAAGAAAAATTACAGGATGAGGTTGCAAAATTGTTGGATTCGAGTGATCCCTCAAGGTATCGTATACCATTATGTGTTGGTAATGTTGAAGTGGTGTTAGACAGAAAAGGAGAAGATTCTGTAAAGGTGATGCTCATTTCATAGTTGGAAGCAGGTACCATATGCGTATCTTAGATCCATACTTATAACTTATTTCACTTATACATAATTTTCATGGCTTGCTTTATGTACTTCTGTTGACTTCTTTCATATGTTTCACCTCGTGTGTTTAAGAATGCTAAAGATGCTTTGAGTCCAAATTTGTGGTTTTTTCAACGCCTGTGATTTAGATAGATGTAGTTATCAACTCTACGTTTTATTTGACGCAACTCAAAAAGAGTGAATTCTTCCGACAGTTACTGCTATTGGTTGCTTCAGAAGCAGTTGAAAAGAAACATGATATTAAGATCGATGTAAAGGTGTGTTCTTCAAAAATCACAAAACAATTGTTTTGAGTTTCATCTATACTGTTGCAACTTGAACAGTGATATTTCTTCAGCACCAAAAATTTGCTACTGAGCTTGCATGATGCCACCTACAACCCAACTCAGTTGAAAAATTTCTCACTGTATCGTTGGTACAATGTCTTGCTTAATTTATGAGGCTTTATGTTTTCAGGGAGCAATTAAATTAAAAAATCGAAAGTGTATGGGTGATTTGAGTGCTCAAAGAATACGAAAAAAGCCGCAAGAGGCATTTATAAGGGAAATAGAGGCAGTGAAACAGTCAGAGGAACCTATCCAAGAGGTGCTAAAAAGTTTTTTATTGCTCGCCGTTAGTTTTTATATTTCCAGACATTGTCGGTTGTGGCTTATCGATTACCACTTGCAGTAAGAGATTGTACATTATCAAACTTTCTGCAGAATTTTTGTTTTTATTTTTCATTTTTCAGTTTTTTGTCATTATTCGTAGACGTAAGGAACTTTATGGTTTTCATAAATCACTGACTAATAAATACTGAAAGCATGGTTCATCAGTGTTGCGTGAAAAGTTCTAAACCCAATATTTATAGTGTATGTTGGGTGAAATTTGATTTGTGATTGAATTGCAGCAATACTTTCTCCCAAAGAATTGCCTACTTCTTTTGAGAAATGGCAAACAGCTGGAAGTAAACTTGAAGCTTACTAGCGTGGAACCACCGGTAAAAAATATTGACAGGTTATCGTGGATTTTTTTTTATATATATGTCTGTAGCTATAAATTCTGTCACAGTAATGAGAGAACGGCTTTGTAAGGGTAAATAAGATCGAAGCAATAATAATTCAAACCAAGGGTTTAAATAACGAATTTTACTATTTTATGTATAATACACTTTTTAGGTTGAATATTCGGATGAACGACGATCACTTGTTAATAATTCTTGATCGGAAGCAAACAATCTTAGATATTTATTTTCCGGTAAAAGTAGACTATAAAAGAGTTGAAGTAAAACTGTTATCAGATGAAGGAATACTACGGATCCTGGTTCCTGTTGTTTGGTGATCCGTAGTTGTCGTTACCATCTTTTTTCTAAGGAACAATTTGATCATCTGTAGTCCTTTGTTTTGGATTTTTAAATATTCTTTATTGTTTCATCTTCGCAACTCTGAAACAATATCAAACCCATCTTTTCTGCGGGAAACTGTATACTAAGATGAAGATTGAGAATTAATGAAAATAATTTACAACATTACGAGTTTAAACATTCCAGTTCAGTTTAGTATCTGTGCTTCCTAGTCATTTGCCAAAATTCTCAAAACTTGTTTCTTTTCGTAGAGCGTGACTATTGGTATCTAGATCTGAGTTTTAGGAGTCATTTTCGACTGAAATGAATCTAATCGCTGGGTGAGGGATGATATATCATAAATGGTTTTCATTTGCGATGCAATAGTATAATGAGTACTTCATCTATCTTTTCAGTTCTGCTTAATGTTATCCCTGCTAACTGATAAAGAGGAAGCTCCCTCTGTAAATTGATAAGGAAAAAGTTAACTGTAAAGTAAATCATGTGGTAATCTTTTATTTCGATCTCTCGAGTTTCCTTATATGCTTGGGTATTTTTCTGTAACGTTTGTTGAATTTTGTGTCGTATGATAAATGATTACATAAAATTCCATGTCACTCAAATGATATTATTTCATTTTACTGGACGAACAGCTTCCTTCGTTTTCTTTTATCATTATTATATTGCTGAACTAAAAAAATGTTTAAATCATTTCAAGGGAAATATCCTTAGCTGTTGACTGCCGAAAAGTTTTTCGGCCAATATTACGATTTTTTTTCTTTTTTTTTTCTATAATATATTTATTCTTTTGAGATCCAAAGCTCGAAGAGTTATGAAGTTTTGAAGTGTTATCTTTCTTTCGATTACTAATTTTTTTCAGAATGATTTGAGTTACTTGAACCTGAAATTTTACGGGTAGGTGTGGTTTATCAATTTTTGTTCAGCCAGGTAATAGGTGGACAAGCACACTTCGGTACTCCTTGTTTTCTTGCACCTGTAGGTTGTCGTAATAAGTCTGATGCAGGTCATGGTGGTGCTGATTCACTGTGCATACTTGAGTAATACATAGCTTAAAATAGGAACATGTCAGGATTGATGGTATTTTAAGCCTAATTGGCCAGGATATTCTCGTAAAAATATGCTACTGAGTCGTCGCCTACTCAACAAGGTAATTTTTCAGTCCGAATACTTTGCTAAAAAAAGTTTTCTAATATGAAGATTTTTTTCGTAATTCCAGATGGCTTTCGGTTTTCCTTCCGATGAAATTAAAAATCAAGGAAATTGAAGGACAAATTCATTAAGTTTAAGGACATTGCTCATTGTTTGCTCTCCTTAATGAAAGTTTAGAAAGTGTACACTTTGCCACTGCTGAAGTTTTAGGAATTTAGGATAAGGTAAACAACAGTCTAAGTTTAATACTTTACTTCAACCATCTACAGTTAAGATGTATTTATATTGTTATTCTAGGTGAATGAATCTTTCATTTCACAGCTAGAGCGCGTTTTGGGTAAAGAAGCTGTTAAAATAACTACTGGAAAAGCGGGTGAAAGTTTACATGATCAGAGACATCACATGTACGTTTTCAAACGCTTTTTAATTTATTGCTTTTTACAACTTCAGGACATATTTATTCGAAATTTGAACTTAGGGTTCTATTAAGACTTTTCATAGATTTCGTTATTTATAGCAAGTTATGGCTTATTGTAGGTATGGTTTTCTGACATTGAGAGTTACTACTTTAATCCTTAAGATGGTTTATAATATCAAAGAACTCACCATTATTCACAGAATGTTTCATTTTATTTTCTCAGATGAGATTATATCAATTTATATAATATCTTACGGATTTTAGAGGTAGAACTTCGGATGTGGTTGTGGTGCCTCAAAATGTTGAACAAGTTAGTTCTGTGCTGAAAATGTGTAATGAGGATGGTATTCCAGTGATACCTTTTACTACAACCACTGGTCTAGGTTTCACCAATACGTTCAAGGTTTATTATTTCGCGAGTATTTTCTTGCAGTGCTTGGTCTCTGTTTATTTTATTAGCAGTGATTTAGTTCCAGTAAAATATTAATCATAAACCGCAAGAGTTTTCTAAATATTTCTTTTTTTCGGATCGTGAGTTATTGCGTAGTTTTTAAGGGAGGCGTATTCGTCGATTTGATGTCAATGGATAAAATCGTGGAAGTAAACACAAGTGATTTTATTTGTACTGTTGAACCGGGCGTTACCCATGAGACACTGAACCAGCATCTACACACGACAGGTCTTTGGTTTCCTGGAGGTATGTTTGCACCAACCTATCGAGCAACTGGATTTAGAGGAAGTCAATGTTAACTTTTTCGGGACACGCTTTGGAATGATAGAATTTTAGATCTGAGAGCCGATGCTTCCATATGTGGTATGGCTGCTGCGAGTGCACGTGGCACAAATGCAGCGCGGTATGGTACCATGGCGCAGAATGTTTTGAACTTGGAGGTACCTTTTCGTGTTCATTGTCTGCAATTTATCAACTAAATGGGATTTTTCTCATTGGTAGTACCAATTTCATATTATTACAGGTTGTTCTGTCCAGTGGCGACGTGATGTACACAGCTGGGAAAGATAGACGGCCAAGGTGAGCTTTATCATTATTCATTTTGTGGTATTTTTGGAAAAAAAGGTTTTTTGGCCTAACTCTATAACTTTACTGTCGCAGCATCTTCGTAGTATGAAAATATTGATCTTTGAGCTTTATAAAAAGAAAATAAGTGACAAATCTTGGGATGTATATTTTTTGTGACCTTAAGGGATACATGCATTTCAGTACCGTTGTTCCTTATCAATGGCATTAATGGTCTGATTTAACAAAGTTTGCTTTATATGATTTACAAAAAATAATTATCAGGAAATCAGCAGCAGGTTATAACTTAACGAAACTCTTCGTGGGCTCCAAAGGTACACTAGGAGTGATAACGCAGGCAGCGGTACGATTGTATGCAAGGCCAGCAGTATGTAGTGTTGCAATTTGTCCATTTCGAACAGTAGACAAAGCTATTGAAGCGGTCGTTGCTACATTGCAGTGTTCTGTACCAACTGCAAAAATAGGTACATTGATAACTTGCCATATTTCATCGTTTAGCTCTTCTAGAGTCATTACTTTTATGCTACTTTTTTTAATGCTACTCTTTTAAAGTCATCACTTTTATGTTCTAAGTTTTTTATTCTCGAGGAAGACTGAGACTACAGGATTGCTTCAGATTCAGCTAAGAGGTCGCATTTATTTAAGAGATCGAATTAATATTATCGTTAACGATAGCTTTTATCTTTCCAAAACTTTTCACTATTTTCATTTTCTTGATTTTATTTGTTGTAATATTCCCCAGTGTATTGAGCATTTAGTATGATCTTATGAAACCTTGCAGAGTTCCTGGATGCTGCTACAGTGGCGGCTTGTAATCGCTATAATAAATTAACACTTGTTGAATCACCCACTCTTTTCTTGGAATTCCACGGTAATTCCGAAGCAGAAGTAGCTGAACAGGCGAGCCTTGTTGGTAAAGTTCTTTCAGCTGATGTTTCATTTCAGTTTCTCTCCATTAGCTATTTGTCATTTCTTCTATGATAGTCATGACTGGCTCATGGTTTATAATTGACATTTATCTGTATTGTTGAGGTAGATCATTCAGTATTGATCCATAAACTTTTAAATCGAAAAACTGCATCTCTAAAAAACAATCAGAAAATGCCACTCGCCAAACGTAAGTAAACTCTGGTTGATTGGCTTTTCATAATTACGTGAAAGAATAATGTTTACTTGATAGAAGAAATATTCGCCAGTAATGATGGGAGAGAGTTCACTTGGTACCATGCGCCTGAAGAGCAGAAAAAAATTTGGGCTTCTCTTCATTCTGTCTATTATGCTATTTTATCACAGAAGAATAATGTTAAGGTAAATTTTCAGACCTCTTTGCTTCATTTTCGGATTTTAATTACCAAGATCAAAAATTTAGTGTGGAAAAATTAAGTCAGTATTTATAAAATTTATCATTTTATCATATTCATTGTCTCGTGCTGCTTGTTGCTTATAACTAGTTCAATATTTGCATTAATTTTGACTTCGGAAAATTCATCTGAACAAAGAATCCTTAGGTGAGACTGGAAAAACTTCTACGTAAAAGCTCATATTAATATTGCGTAGTTGATAAAATGAAGTGCAAGCACGCAGTAAAGGCTAAAGGCGGTCATTTTTTTCGTATAAGGAAGATATGACGAATCAATTTCAACCGTAATGTTACTGATGGACTATCATTCCCATATTGTCCTCCATTTGAATTATATTTTTCATTAAATTTTGGATCCTACTAAAATGTTGAACTTTTCCTTAGATGATTTTAGTTCAGGGTCTCACAATGCATTTCTCCTTACCAACATCTGCACTGACTAAAACTGTCGCGGAGACGAGGAAGGATATTGACGAATCTGGCTATTTTTGGTTTGGTTTTTTTTTTTAAATCTTTAATGGTGTTTATTTGCAGATTTTTTATTTTATTATGTATAATTTTATTCTTGAAAATTAGGACTGTTGAAGAAGCGCTATTGTTTTGCGTAGCATAAAGGGACATCAAGTTGTTGAGATCTGGACAATTTTAGTGGTCGTGAACATTTTTTGTTGTTATGAAGTTTCGTTCGAATAAATTCAATTTTCAATCTGTGTATTTTAGAAATGATTTTGTATTGAGATCAGTGCTTTTAGTATTTCATCTAATTTCGTTGTCTAATTGTTTTCTGGTTCTATGTTTCAGGAGCACTATTGGGTCGTGTTGGTGATGGCAGCTTCCATTGTGTGTTCCTAGTCGACGAATCAAACCAGGAGGAGATGAAAATCATTCGGGAATTATCAGATCGTATTGTGAAGTGCTGTTTTGAAGGATTTATTGTATTTCGTTTATTTTATAACTTATTTTTAAAAAAATTACAAAGATATAGTATTGCGGTAGCAAGTGATTATTTCAATTCATGATGAATTTTTCACGGTATTTGTGTGGAGATAATGTATTTGACGTGTTTGAAGAATTCAGTTTTTCTTCGTATCTGTTTTTTCTTAGTAAAAAAAAAGAAAGAAAAAACTGAAAATTGAATATCCAAATGAATAATGCATATAGTGGTACATTAAATTATTGTTGAGTTACCAGACAAAAATTTGTGGTTTAAAAAAAAAAAAAAGCTGATTTTAGGCATACATTAGCAGTAGGTGGTTCGTGTACAGATGAACATGGAATTGGAATTAGTAAAAGGAAATATTTGGAGAATGAATATGGTGAGGTGGCAGTGAACACAATGATTGCTATCAAGAAAGCCTTGGATCCAAAGGGTATCATGAACCCGAACGAATTGTTTTCGAAAAACTAATTTTTATTTCATTCTTTCAAATTATCTGAAAAATATATTTGTTGTTGGTGCAGTTTTCCTCTCCCATTACTTATAATAATTTAACATAGACAGTGAACACTAGAAGTGATGAAAATTTCAGAAGACGTAATAATACTCAACAGGACTCTAATGCATGGGTTATTTTATTAATTGTTGATAGTTTATCAGGCTCCAAAATTCTGACTCATAAGAATTTCTTTACCTTGATGCTGATCCTAACTGAACCTGTAAACTGTTACAGTACTCTGTGAATAAACTGTTACGCTTGTAGTTGTTATCTGGTCAGAGTTCATTTAAAAAAAAAGGAATAAAACGTATTTAAGTTTTTTGAAGTAATATGTCCACTTGCATTTGAATGATAGCCTGTATGAACAATCAAGCTTTCACCGAAATAACTTTGTATTACAACGATATTTTAATACAGTTACAACCTATCAAACTATTTCATGAGGATATAACATGTAAATGTCATTCTTGTTATCAGTAGAATTCAAATTCAAGAATTCCTTGAGGTTAAAAGTGCAGGCGCCTCATAATACTGTTTGCTACATCAAGTTACATCAGCTATATGCTTGTCTTTTTCTATTTCAATTCACAGGCGCGTCGTCGAACTTGCTATTAAACTGCACCACGTTGAATACACTACCACTGATCTATTTAAATAAGAGGGATTACGAGAACAATTGCATGAGAACGATTGCTTGCCAGAAATGCTAGAGAATGATTATTACCTAGATGAAAGGATGAAAAGCAAATCAGACCTAATTTAGTCGAGGATATCTCGGGTTTTTAGAAATTAACTTTGATGAAGAGATCAGTATGTGAGGTTCTGAGACAGAAGATTACACTTTCACTACAAAGATTGCTAATGAAAATGACAAATATTTTAAAATGCCAACGGTTAGCTTGGCTTTATTTATTTTTCTTTCATTGCAACAACAATGAGTAGAGTCAAATATTTAAGTGAGTTCATTGTTTGGCTGAGATTTTTACAGCTAAGTTGTTTCCCTATTATCAGTAATCTATTGGTTGTGAAACTTTCACTTCTCATATGTTGAAGTGGAACTTACTGAAATTATAATTTAAATGTTTAGACTTTGTTCCAATTCAATTCAGGAATTTTCAATAGGTATGCACATAAATCCTCTGAAGATTTCGCTTTTTGTCCTTTTTTTCACCGGAATAATCTCATCATTTTGTTTCAGAAGACATCACTTCGTCAGACATCCATCATTCATGCTATTCCTACCTGTAATTTTTGATTTCTCCATTATGAAAATGAAAAGGCATTGGTGGAATTCTCGGGAAAGGCAACTATGAAAGGATGGGAAATTGATGTTTTGAGAGAAAGATGAGGTTATATTCCAAAGAACTACTCAATTAGGGTTGAAATCTCGGGTAACATTACATATCATTCCCGTATTACAATAATCATCTTCAATCATTGCCATGTAATGATTATTTTTCCTTGGGATATAATATTACTCGTGAATCATTTATTGTCTTCGTCAGTAATTTTAGCTAAATGTAGGCTTAAAGAGTTGAAATGAAAGAGCAGATCGTACTATCAAGTATCATGGAATAAATCAATGTTGCAAAACTTTGCACAACAAACACAAAGATCAACGAAATTGACTTCATTCATGTCTGAAATCGTTGAGGTAGCATAATAATATATCATCTTATCATCTTATCAGTGATGATTGGAGTAATAGAATGATGAAATCGATCAATCGATCGATCCTTTCCTCGTTTCTTCAATACAAGAGGACGTAATTCTTATTCTTTACTCTCCTCCTATAATGGATGAAATAAAATTGAAAGAAATGTCTCAATCGCTGAAATTAAATGTGCTGAAGTGAATCGAAATTATAAAAGTATTTTATATAGAAGCAGAGATTATAAAAAAAATGTTGAAGAAGCAGAATGCATGCAATTTGCAAGTAAAATAAAAGATAAATATGATGATGGATCGAGCATGAGTAAATAAATGAGATATGGTAAGCTTTGAATTGAATGAAATAACAATGATTTGATTACTTACCTGTTTAGTTACAGTAGTCATCCTTCGACACTGATTACCCTCAACAGTTAATAAATTGCCCGTAAATTTCCTATGATTCTTTGATGGCTCTTCTCGTGTTACTGATAAGCTGGTAAAAACTGATGTAGCACTAGGTCGGTGCTGCGATGATGTTAGCATAAGCTGAAAAAGTCTGCTATACTTTTTGGTTAATTTATTCATTTTCTAATTCTATATTTAAATTTCAGTACTCTCATTTTTTGTTGCTTGATCGGCATGAAATTACCAACGTTGCTTTTATCACTAATCAATTGATATTAGCATCTTACTCAGTTTACATGGAAAAAAATATCCATTCCTTTCAGTTCTACCAGAAATGAATCATTTGCGATTTTGAACAGTTTAATGAACCATTCCTATCCTTTGAGTCATTTTTCAACCCTCTAAAGTAAATTATACCTGTTCGGTACGACTGATGTCAGCACTTCGATTACGTTGTCCTGGCAATTCGTAAGCATAATCCATACGACTGTAATCTTCTACTACTCTAGAATTTTTTCTTTTTGGCTTATAACACCAAGCTCATAACTTTAATCTAATTTCTTTTTTGTCAAGGGTTAGAACAGAACTTTAATAGTCCAAGGATTAGAATAAATTTCTGCACTTCAAGAAAAATTTGCAATTTAGATGTTTAAAATTCCATAATTATAACTTTTACAACGGTAAATTACTATAATTTGCGTTAAAATCCATCATGTACAATGCTTATTTTTAATCGCTAATTTATACCTTGAAAACTTTCGATTTGCGCAGAAATCGCAAAACAACTGGAGAAAAGTAATACGAAAACGTTTATTCATGATGCAGTATATTAGAAAATTAACAGCTGAATTGATTAATGATAAAAGATCCATGAAATCACCCAAAGGTAAATAAACCTATAATTCAAATAGGTATACATTCTATCATTCCCTATAATAAAAATTATAATTTACAAGTAATTTAAGCAGGAAAACTGTTTAAAAAAGGATCGGAAAATATTAAAAGTTTTGAAATCACTGAAAATCGTATCATTTTTTGACATTGCTTATTCTCAAGAAGTAATACTAAATGTCGCACAAGCACGTCCTTATCTTTCTTATCTCTGTTCTGCTTTTAATGCACAATTTCAAAATAAAAAAAAACTGTATCAAAACTAGATTACTTACTTTTTGATGAAAAGTATCACCAGTGAAAATGCCCGTCAATACATTCATAACACCTTGTGGTAGCTCAGTGATAAGAAATATTGACAGAACTGCGACAAGCATCGGTGTTGTATGATCTTTCGGCACTTTTCTTTTCATCAACTATCAAATTGCATTTTGTTAACAAATGTTAATTAGCTTGAAAAGAAATAGATTCAATACATTTGCAGCTTATGGAGACTTCCCATGCTTGAATGACACTGATATGATGTCGCTTTTCTTTATTCTATGATAGATATTTTATCTTTATGGATGATCGAGTGTTCACAAAGTTTTATTAGTTGGGAAAGATATTCCTGTGATCAAGTACACCTCGAAGTTCGATCAGTTGAAGAAACAATGAAGTTT